AACAGCCCAGTGTAATTCTGCCCAGAAATCTGTGTCCCATAAAATCTATGTATTGCATATAAAGAATCATCCCAACCTCAGTTTTACTGAAAACTAAAAACAGCTGCCCTCTTACACAGTCAGGTCTCTGGACTCATTAAATCAGTAATGATGCACATTAATCATCACTGAGCTGTACAGAACTTTAAGTTTTGTCTGCGGAATGTCTTACCTGCTTGACAAGAGAAGTATCCTCACTCCTGTGGACTCCAGTACTCTTAGCTGCAGGACACATTAATTTGCAATCTTAGCTCTGCTTTACAACCAAACACAAACTTTTAGAAGCAGCCGTACACCAATGCTCCATGTTTTCTACGCTGAGAATAGTTTTCACCATCTGTGACTGGGTACCTAAGTCAGAAAAAAACAAGGTTTGAATCCCAGCTCAAACGTTTTAACCGTGTGACTTCTGGTGAATTACTTAACCCGTCTGAGCCTTACTTCCTTTACGTAATACAAGTATCAACTCCGTGGGCCAGACCAGCCCCAGCCTCCTACAAATCCATCTCTGTCCACAGATGCCACTGTGGACAGACCACCGTAGGAGGAAGGGCTGTGTCCCTCCTCTCCACTCTCAGGTCCCTCCACCATAAAAAGCCCACTCTCCATAAAGCTGTTGAGAATTAAGTACCACAGCAGACACAGAGCACCTAGGACACTGCTTGGCACACTGAAGCACCAGTAAACATTTAGCTCTTACTACTAGGAAGTATGTCCTGGAGACGCATAAGAAACCGCTAAGAAATCTTGGGGCAAAGGTGGAGGCTCTCTCGAGAAGAATGTTTACTGGGAGTGGGGAGAAACAGCTGGGCATCTGCAGCAGGGCAGATGGTGGGCAGACAGCCTTCCGGAACAGGAGAGTGTGGCAAACGCACCAGAGCCACTCGGCGGTCACACTCCTGCAGGCCACGCGAGGCTGTCCAGGTGCTGAGGATGCAGGCGCGCAGGGTCGACCAGGTGTCCTGTCATGCAGACCTTACATTCCACAGGAGGGAGAGCAAACAAGTAGGAACACATGCGGCGGACATGAAGGCCACACCACAATGGACGGTGTGATGCGCGGAGGAGGAGCTTGCCTTGGATGGGGCAGGAGAGCCTCTCTGAGAAGTGGAGCTGGCCACGCCAAAGCCTGGGGAAGAACCTGAGACATGAGCATGGAGCTGGCTGGAAGAGCAGGGAGGCCACTCAGGTGCAGCTCAGGGGGGATGGCAGTGGCCGGGGGTGAGGACCTCCAGACCACAGGGACGAATCTGGGCTTTATGCCATGTGCAGGTGACTAGCCTCACATATAAGCAGGGAACCTAGGCTCTGGTTTACCTCTTTCAAAAGATAACCCTGTCTTCCCTGGAGAGAAGGATCTGGAGCTAAGAGCAAGCAGGTGGTCTGGTGAGGAGATGACTGCAGTGGCCTCAGAGATGACTGAGCTGAGGCTGCTGTGGCCAGTGCTGAGACGGATGGATGAGGATTTGTTAGAGGCACCATTTAGAGGGAGCGATGTGAGGGCTTGAGGGTAAGGAAATGGGTTGGTAGAATGAGGAAAGCAAGGCGAAGCCCGTGAGGCAGGGAGAGAATCACAAGTCTGAGCCGCCTACGTGACAACCAAATGGAAGCATCTGGCTGGACCCACGCGTCCGGAGCTCAGAGGAGAGGTGGAGACTGAAGACATCAGTGTGGGAAGGGACGGGGAAGAACGGAGACTGCTAAAGCTTCTGCAACAACCTTGCCCGGGCACTGTTCTCACGCTGGCAGCTGTCTTGAAGACAGCGTAGTCTGCATTTGCTTTAGGAGTGGTGACTGGTTGCACAAATCATTTGTTCATACCTACCTGCTCTTCAAACGCCAAGCATCATGTTTCCAAATCACGGAGGCATAGGACAAACTGCAGATCCCTAAAAGACACTTTTAAAGAAGAGTCACCTTTGGCCAGGCACAGTGGCTTACGCCTGTAATCCCAGCACTTTGGGAGGCAGAGGCGGGCAGATCACCTGAGGTCAGGAGTTTGAGGCCAGGCTGGCCAACATGGCGAAACCCTGTCTCTACTGAAAACACAAAAATTAGCTGGCATAGTGGTGGGCGCCTGTAATCCCAGCTACTCGGGAGGCTGAGACAGGAGAATCATTTGAACTCCAGATGGAGGTCGTAGTGAGCCGAGATTGTGCCACTGCACTTCAGCCTGGGCGACAGAGCTAAACTCTGTCTTAGAACAAATAAATAAGAGTCACCTTTATAGTTTTGTCGTTTAACCCTGTTTTTTGACCTTCTGAGTATAAACTGAAAGGCAAAGTAACAGTTGCACAGAATTGAAACTATTATGACTGCTATGAACTGACCTTGGCAAACACTTAAAAGACCATGGCAAACAGTCTTAAAAAGCAATAGCATGGTTTTAAAACTTTTAAGGCTGAATGTTGTCCAATAAGCACAAATTCAAGCATGAGGTCATCCCATATTTGATGCACAAAATCTAGAAGTCAAGCAGTATCAGTAAAAGTACCACCTGTTTAACTTGTGAAAAAAATGTTTTTACAAATTTGATTTCTAAGCAAAAATTACTCAGCAAAAGTAAAGTGAAGTGGAAAAAGGAAAAAGGGATGTTTTTTCCTCGAGCTCACAGTCATTGCTCTTAAACTGTAATTGGTTTAAGTCTTCCGGCCAGCTTTCCACAAGCCCCGAGGTCTTTCTGCTCCACATAATATCCAACTGTGATCACCCCCGAGCAACTACACACATCTGGGATTTTGTTGCTTCAGTCAAAGGCAGTGAGCTGGGGCTCAGAAAGCCCCATCAGGAGACTCTCGAATAACGGTGAGAAGAGCAATTAATAGCTACGTCCCTCCTAGGTAAAACCGTGTCACTGGCCGGGCGCGGCGGCTCACGCCTGGAATCCCAGCACTTTGGGAGGCCGGGACGGGCGGATCACGAGGTCAGGAGATCGAGACCGGCCTGGCTAACGTGGTGAAACCCCGTCTCTACTAAAAATACAAGAAACTAGCCGGGCGCGGTGGCGGGCACCTGTAGTCTCAGCTACTCCGGAGGCTGAGGCAGGAGAATGGCGTGAACCCGGAAGGCGGAGCTTGCAGTGAGCCGAGATCACGTCACTGCACTGCAGCCTGGGGGACAAAGCGTGACTCCGTCTCAAAAACAAAAAACAAAAAACAAAAAACCATGTCACCGCCTCGACCTCAAGCCTACCACAGACAGCTCTCGGGGCCTGCTGTTTCCCTCCCTGCGTCCCACTGGAACCTACCCCATCTGTACCAGCTTCTGTAGCAGTTGTCCTGTCCAGCTTTACATACAGTATGTGAGGTCAGAGGAGATGTAGACTCAAGATACCAACGTGGGAACCTCTTCACTGTGTCTGCACAGACTAGGAAGGCTTCCCCTCTCGGTAAAATAACCACCTGCTTGAAAGGCAAACTGTCCTTTCTACTTTGGGCAACTGGCTGAAAGTGGAACAGAGAAGGAATTTCTTAGGAGAAAGGAAACTGTGCGATGGAGGATAAAAATCACAGAACAGACACAGAAGCTTGAAAATAACAGAATAAAGTGATATTTAATTTCTGTATGACATTATAGGAAAAGACAAGCTTACTGAAAAACTTCTGGATATACATTAAAATATATTCCATATTTATTCAGAATATCATAATCAGTGCAAACAGAGAACTCTCTTCTCACCTGTAAAAGTTAAGTACAATACTGTAGGCTAGATACATGATATTTCAGTCAAGTCTTCAGTATTAGCTTGTAAAAAAAAAACCTACAATTATAGATATCCAATTATCATACAAAATATATATACAAAAGCATAATTGTAGTGTAGAAAGATAAAGTTAACAAAATACAACTTATGTAATTTACTTTACACAAAAATGTATTCTAGTTAATTTTTTCCAAGAGCTTCACCAATCAGTCGAATAGCAATACTCTTGCCTTCATCTGTTTGAATGACAAGCAAAGCTTCAAATTTGCCTGCGGACTTCGGTTTGAACTGCACGGGCATGTTGATGTAATGCTGGGCTCTGGAAAGAGAGAGGCACATGACAGCGGCATGTCGTGACAGTACCTGCAACCCTGTCCCAGGCAGCACAGCGCCTGGCTCAGGTGTTGACGAAAGAGCTCGGTCAAGCCACATTCAGCTTAAATGTATTTATAATTTCTTTGATGCTATTATTTAACGAGAAAATGACACAAAGGAGAGAAAAATCTAAAATTGGATTAAAACAGCATTACATACGTATATATTCCTGGCTATCCAGCAACTATTAATATACAAAAAGGAAAATAAGATGTCTAAACTATCATATATACAGTTTTATATTCTGCCTGCAAAAGCTATCTACCTAAGAAAGGGTTCGGGAACACCCTAATTGCCCGTTTTACTCAGTCCAGATAGCATATTGTACTGGAAAGATTAAAACAACTTGTCCCAACCCTATCATTAATGGGCTGTGCAGGTTTTGCTCTAAAATTCATACGAAACTTTTTTTTTTTTTGAGACGTAGTTTCACTCCTGACGCCCAGGCTGGGGTGCAATGACACCCCACTTCGGCCTCCCGGGTTCAAGCAATTCTCCTGCCTCAGCCTCCTGAGTAGCTGGGATTACAGGCACCCGCCACCGCGCCCAGCTAACGTTTGTGTTTTTAGTAGAGGCGGGGTTTCACCATGTCGGCCAGGCTGATTTCAAACTCCTGGCCTAAAGTGATCCGCCCGCCTTGGTCTCCCAAAGTGCTAGGATTACAGGCGTGAGCCACCACGCCCGGCTCGAAACTTTCATCAAAAATATTCTAGAAACTTTACTTTCAGATTACAGTATATAGAGGCAGGTAATGAGTGCCCTATGGTTAAAAATAGTATTCTGGGGGGTTTGCTTTTGTCCCTAAAACTATGTCCTAAGAGCTTCAAAATACACCTCAAAATATGCAATTTAACAAGTTACTCACAGTGTGAATGAGGCTACACACGTATGACACACAGCCCATGTGATGCCATCAACCTCAAGGCTTAGCCGTTTTTAAGTGGACATTCTGAGCTCAGGGGAAGGAACTTCACCCCTTAGTCTTGTCTCAGAGCTGTGTGTTTTAAAGCCGGGCAACCAGAAGTGATGTACGTTTCGGTTTCCAGCATCTGTCCTGAAAAACCCAGCAGTGTCGGCTCTTGGGTGCACAAGAGTACACCGGGCACGAGGTTTAGAAAACAGCTTCAGTATTTCAAAGCCTTTTCCTGGATATAACTGATAATACAGATAACGTATGTTCTTAAATATATCTATATAGCGCAAAGGTGTGTATGTATATCTTTCTATATTTTTATTTAAAGGCTGGGTTATTTTTCCCAAATGCATTACACTTTGTTTTACCATGTCAAAGATAACGTACTTTTTTAAAAAAAATCTAATCTGGCCCATGGCATTAGCGACAATTTTCTGTTTCATGTTGGCGGTCAATACTTGGATATATATAGTACCATTTGCCTATTTAAGAGGCATTATAACGTATGAATTACTAAAAATAATAAAATATCCCAAAACAAATCTCTGGAAGAACTCATTATTAACAAATTTCATCACAGAATATAGAACTGTTCTATATTAAACTGAAAATTTAAGTCTACTGTGATTAAAATATATCATCTGCTTTAGATTTACAGATACACGGAATAAACTGGAATGCAATTTAGAAAGAACTACAACATTTAATACAGCTATAGAACACTCCCAGCAAGATGGATGTACTTTAAAAAGTACTTTGTAGTACTATCATTAAGAACTAATTTAATCTCCACACACGCGCGCGCGCGCGCACGCACACACACACACACACACACACACACACACACACACACACACGGGAAAAGGTAGCGGGAAAGTCCTCTGAACCCAGTGGGGAGGTCTAGTTCAGACCCTCTCTCCCGCTATGATGGATTTACCTGCAAAGGCACACAGAGCAGAAACACATCTAGGGGGCAGAGAGGCCATCAGGCTGTGCACACCCAGCCCCCAGCTCCCTGCAGGCCCCATCTACGTGGAAAGGGCTTAGTGGAACTTACAAATTCTAGCAACTACACTTCTTTCTTTTCTTTCAAAACATTTTTTTTTCAGATGGATTCTTGCTCTGTCGCCCAAGCTGGAGTGCAGTGGCGCAATCTCAGCTCACTGCAACCTGTTTCCCTGGTTCAAGCCAATCTCCTGACTCAACCTCCTGAGCAGCTGGGACTACAGGCATACGTCACCAGGTCTGGTTACTTTTTTTTTTTTTTTTTGAGACGGAGTCTCGCTCTGTTGCCAGGCTGGAGTGCAGTGGCACAATCTCGGCTCACTGCAACCTCTGCCTCCTGGGTTCAAGCAATTCTTCTGCCTCAGCTTCCTGAGTAGCTGGGACTACAGGCGCCCGCCACCACGCCCAGCTAATTTTTGTATTTTTAGTAGAGACAGGGTTTCACCATGTTGGCCAGGATGGTCTTGATCTCTTGACCTCATGATCTGCCCTCCTCGACCTCCCAAAGTGCTGGGATTACAGGTGTGAGCCACCGCATCTGGCCTACTTTTTGTATTTTTAGTAGAGGCAGAGTTTCACATGTTGGCCAAGCTGATCTTGAACTCCTGACCTCAGATGAGCCGCCCGTCTTGGCCTCCCCCAAAATGCTGGGATCACACGCGTGAGCCACCATGCCCGGCCCGAAACATTTTTTTAAAGGAACACTTTCTACAGAAAAAAAAAGCCAGTACATTAGCACATGCAAGGTAACACCATTATCAAAGAAACTGAAAAAGGTAATAAAATTTGTTCCCACACATGGGTGAGAAGTCACTGCAGCTCAATGATAACTCTGTTCCTTGGCTTGTCACTTTTCTAGGAACTGTCCTTCTCTCTCAAATGACAGGCAAGGTCTGCCAGGATTGTGCACCTTGCACTGTGCAAGGACACGAGGGCACAGTTGAGGAGAAACCTATTAGCTACCACACCTCAGCTGGGATTAGATGTGCATGAAACAATAGGTTAAGAGAAAGATGCTTTTTGGGACTAAGTAGAAACATAAACAAATTCTTTTAAAAAAGATAAGAAAGAGATCACTTAGAACCCTCAAAAAAGAACCCTTACAAAAAAAACCTGTTAGCAATGTTTCCTTTTCCCTATTACCTTACTTACAATCTATCATACATTCGTGCTTACCGACCTCCGCACTGGGCAAAACCCCTGTGCCTTCTTGGGGGAACTCTTCTGCCTCCTTCAGCTGGAACCAGTTGACAGCCTACGAGGAACAGCCACTTTCCCGGGCTAGTGCCGGGGCTTACAGAGAGCAGCCCCACGGCTCCCGGGGCCTTGGAAAAAGTGCTTCTTTGTAAGTAAGTATCTCCTGTACCCTACAGATGACTATATTCCTATTATTACTTTGGAAATGTGTAGTTAATGGTGTCATAGAGCACAGGGTGATCTAACAAATGAAAACTGTGATTAACGAAAGGCTGGGAATTGCTTCTCAGGGCTTTAAGAACACAGATTTTGTTCCACTGCCAAGGCAAGCTAACTGTTGCTCTCATCTGGCAATTATGTTTTGTAAGCCTTTGTCTAAAGTCACAGTGTCTCGTGCTTGGGACAAATACAACAGCACACAATGCCGTAAGTGCCTATGACTTCAGTTCTGTGGTAAGAACTGTCACTGGGGTTCCTGTGGCATCTGCCTCTACTGTCCTGCTGCTTCTCCAAGGTCAACACAGGCCATTCTCTGTTATAAAGGAGCCAGTGTTTCCACCTTTCTTTGCCTAAAATTTACTTAAAAAGTTTCCTGTAACCCAGAGTTTAGTTCATCTGGTTAAACAGATCACAGAATTAGTACTTCATAGACACGATTTCCTTACTCATACTTTACCAAATTTACAATGAGCTGCTGCTATTAAAGCTATTGCTGAAATCGATACTATCATGCATTTACCCTATAGCCCCATAGTGATAGTATCGGTGAAGATTTTCTGGAAACTCACCATAATCGGAGTAACTTAAGTGTCTGCCACTAATAAAGTATAAAATTATTTCATTCAAATTTATCTTCAAAGCATCAAAGTTTAAAAAGATTTAAATATGTTCAGAGTACAAACTATGCACCTTGCGATACTATTTTAAGTGCTAACTTAATTGAACTGTCCAAATTTTGCTTAATTTAAAAATAGTTTCTCATGTTTCTAAGTTCCTTCTGATGCCATTAACATGACACAGGCTGCACAGGAAGGCAGTGCTGTAATCTGTGACTCTTAATTTCAAGCACTGAGACGGCAAGTCTACAAGTTGACGTCCACAAAAATGTCTACTTTTACATGACCAGCAAGGAACACATTTCATCTCTCAAAAGTGGTTTATAGAAAACAAGTTGAAGCTAAGCAAAATGTCATCTCATTTATAAATTTGAGCTTCTCATTAAAAATGTTCTAGGCATCTTTCAAAAATCCCCTTGTCTGATTCCCACTCGGCTGGTCTTGTCCCTACACTCCATGTCAGAAATAGACTCCGCCATCTGTAGCACTATTGTGATGAAATAGGTTTAGGTTCTTTCTCTGCAAAGAGTCAAATCTGAATTGGCCCACAAATTTTGGCAGAAAAGCAATTCTTTAAAAAAAATCTGTGAAGGCAAATTAAGCAAAGCATATAACATCAAAAAAGAATCTGAAATGACGACGTATTCAATAATGGAAGTTGGAAAATGAATGCTTAACTGCAGGGAAGTTTTGACTGCCTCATACCTAGCCATAAAATGGAGAACAGTGACATAAAGCTGCAATTTAACAAGTTATTTTAAATAATGATGCTTTATCAAAACTACAGATGAGGATGGGGTATATGTAAATATTCTTTTTTTAAAGTTGGTACTATTCAAGATAATTTTTTTAATGAAACTTTGTTTAGAAGCTTTGAAAAATATTTTATTTATTTATTTATTTATTTTTGAGACAGAGTTTCACTCTTGTTGCCCAGGCTGGAGTACAGTGGCGAGATCTCAGCTCACTACAACAACCGCCTCCCAGGTTCAAGCTATTCTCCCGCCTCAGCCTCCCAAGTAGCTGGGATTACAGGCGCCTGCCACCCTGTGTGGCTAATTTTTGTAGTTTTAGTGGAGATGGGGTTTCATTATGTTGGCCAGGCTGGTCCAAACTCCTGACCTCACGTGACCCGCCTGCCTCGGCCTCCCAAAGTACTGGGATTACAGGTGTGAGCAACCGCACCCGGCCTAAAAAAATATTTTTTAAGGTAAGAGGAGCTCCTTGAAATAAAAATCTAAAGTCCTTCCAATTTGTGACAGATGTATGCCAGTTTCTACAGAAGTATTCCACTGATCCACTGCATGTTCAAAAATATACCCTGCAAAACATTTTGCTGGTGAAGATGTGGGATGTGACCCAATCTGAGGAAGCAGAATGAATAATGCAGTTATGATAAAATTTGAGTTTAGATAATAACAGTGTTCAGGATAATTTATTCAGTATCTATTTGTACTCAGTTACTAAAAATAGTTACAACAATTAGAAATTTAAATGATCTTTTTCTGAATAAACTAATTGCCTCTGCAGTCGTGCTACCATGTATGTTAGTAGTTCCAACCTATTATTACACACACTAGAGCATCACTCACTAGTCTCAAATCAATTGGGGCAGCCTACAATAACTGGAGAGATCCACAGACTACTATGAGAGGAGAACTGGCCGGGCGCGGTGGCTCAAGCCTGTAATCCCAGCACTTTGGGAGGCCGAGACGGGCGGATCACGAGGTCAAGAGATCGAGACCATCCTGGCTAACACGGTGAAACCCCGTCTCTACTAAAAATACAAAAAACTAGCCAGGCGTGGTGGCGGACGCCTGTAGTCCTAGCTACTCAGGAGGCTGAGGCAGGAGAATGGCATGAACCTGGGAGGCGGAGCTTGCGGTGAGCCGAGATCGCGCCACTGCACTCCAGCCTGGGCGACACAGCGCGAGACTGCGTCTCAAAAAAAAAAAAAAGAGAGGAGAACTTGGAGAACAGAAGTTGGAAAACTTGAATTTGGCTGATTTTTAAACTTGGGCCTTTCTCTTGTATGTAGTTGTCACAGGGATTAAATGAAGACACACTGATAATAAAATGAGGTTCTATCAAACTCTGTAGAGTGAGCGTTGATGCATCCTGCCAGCCAAGGTCACCTACAGGGGAGATTTGATGATGATGATGATGATGATGATGATGATGAAGATATTGACACTGACACTTGCTATGTCTGGGCATTATTACCACATCTCTTACATTCCTCACAATTCTATGCTGTCAGTAGCTAGCATTGGCATCTCCATTTTACAAATAAGGAAATTGAGGCCAAAGAGTTTATCAAGTTTATAATTTTTAGATATATTCATTGTTGAATTTTCAGAACTAAAATCTATAGTTTGTGCCTTCAGTCTCCTGGGAGCGAAAGGAAGGGTTTAGCCCTCAAGCATATTAAAATATTTTATAGTCCATAGAAGGAAGAGGTGGTGTGAGAGATAAAAGAATAAAAAGAAAGAGTAAGGTAGAAGGAACAGTCTTCAATCAAGCCATCTTTCCAGTATCCAGGGCTGTGAGTGAGCTTCAATTGTAGAGCACCACTGGTCTTAGTAAGTGAATAAATGGCAGGCCTAGAATGATTGCAGAGTGGTCCAAATTTTCATAGAATAGAACATGTTTCTGGAATAGTCTCCTAATGCTAAAATGAGAGACTTTACAATAATTAAATGACTTAAAAGATTCAAAGATGAAATTAAAATTATTCTTCAGCATTAAGTCCAACAGAACCCTACTATTAAGTTCTAAATAACAATGACAACCCAGTTCGAGAGTTCAACCTAAACGTGCATCATATAGAAAAGAAAATTAGCAAGGATGATAAGAAAATGAGGCCCTGATTAAGAATAGTAAGCGGTGTCTGAAGAATGGCAACTGAAAAACACAATAAAAGTTTTCCCAATTAACCTGGAAAGGTTTTTGTCCCAATTAATGAAAATCTAAGTCCTTGACTCTCAGCGTACCAGTGAAATAACATTTGAAACAGGAATTACTCTAAAAGTCAATCTTAAGATGATTACAGCTCTAAGATTTACGTGGCTGCAAATCCTGGGTGGGAGGAGTCACACCAGCCCAAATGCTGTGCCCTGCGGCACTGCTAAGTGCACCACGGACGGTCGGGGCTGTCCCCTGCAGGCTGCTTTTCTCTGTTTCTACTTGCGAACACTCATTTGATTAATGCTGTTCGGTGCTGGTGAGGAATCTGGAGGACCTGCAGCAGAGGAGACCTCACAAGCCCCAACTCCCAAGAAACAAAAGTCCTGCATCGCTGATGAGAACCCTGTGATCTGCGATATACTTACCTCAGAGAGTACTTGGAATGTTTGACATAGAATGGCTCTCTGGGACTCAAAAACTTCAGCTGGAATTTAATGGAAAACACTTATAAAGTTATGAAAATTAGATCTTTTAGCATATATAAGCATACCATGCATTTATTTATTACAGATACATTTCGTAAATTTAGGTATTGCCACAAAATTAGGTAGGACAACAAATGTTAATGCAATGAAAACATATTTAAGAAAATTTTAACATGAATTTAATCTAGTTTTAACTAAAGTAAAGGCTGTCCAGAAATATGTGTGTATAACAGTACAGAAGAAAAAGAAAAAGTTAAAAATTAAAATATAAAAACAAATTTTTGATTTTCAAGTAAAGGGTGATGAACTTCCAGTGGGTTTATTTTCAAATACAACATTAAGGAATTCTGGGGGGGATGGGAGCAGGGTCTTGCTCTGTCACCCTGGCTGAAGTGCAGTGGCACAATCATGGCTCACTGCAGCCTCACCCTCCCAGGCTAAAGCGATCCTCTCATCTCAGCCCCCACCCAAGTAGCTGGGACTACAGGTACGTGCCACCATGCCCTGTTAATTTTTTTTTTTTTTTGGTAGAGATGGAGTCTTACTATATTGCCCAGGTTGGTCTCAAACTCCTGGGCTCAAACAATCCCCCTGCCTTGGCCTCCCAAAGTCCTGAATTACAGGTGTCAGTCACTGCACCTGGCCTTAGATTGCATTTTTAAAAATTACCTCATTACTACAACTTAAATATAGTCTGTAGAATCATCAGGAAAATGTTTGTTATCTGAGTTGAATGCATTTATTTTTCCAAAAGCCATAGTAATATTTCCAACTTACCGAGTGTGTAATAAAAGAATTATTTCGCAGATTGACTTTGAGTGTCCGTGATTCCCCTACACTAGTCGGCAGGAACCTGTACACATCTTCTGGGGCATAAACTCCACGAGCAGTCATATCAAGCTGCCTGCTTTGGGAATAGATGTAAAAGTTAAGAATTTGAAATCTACAGTAACTTAAAACTATTTTTATATATTAAAATTATGTAGTATTGCCATTAATTTGTGTTTTTCCTGGCGATTTATTTTCAAACATAGGTTTTGTAACGACAACTTATCGAATTTACGTGAAGAAGATGACAGCAGGCATCCTCTCACGAAGTGTGCGGGGTAGGCCTCCCTCTCCTCACAGCCTGGGTCTCTACCGGCCAGAAGCCCAGTTTGTATGAAGGTGGCCCTTTACCTCAGTTCACCTGGCCCCTCACGCTGCAGTACCGACTGTACTTCACTATCACCGGGACACAGGCTGCTCCAAGCGCCTGATGCAGGTATGGCCTCCAGGCAATGTTTGCTGGCGGTGGCACTGGCTCTTGCGTGGGCTTCCTGAACCCTGCACATCTGCCTCCCCTTTCTCCGGCCACTCCCGGGTCTCCGCAGGCTCCCCTCCACCCCCAACTCTTTGTGCATCTGACCTTCCCCTCACAGGGGCACCCCCCAGCAGCCCTATCTATTCAGTCACTACACAATGGTCCCTCAGGATAGCTCAAACACCTTCAGTCTCCACAAATACAAAAATGAACTTGTGATTTTTGTCCTCAAACCTGATCCTCCACTTGTGTTTGCTGAATGGTATCCGGAAGCCGACCTTCTCACAGCCATCACCCTTCATCCAGTCCATCGCAGAGGCCCTCCTATCTCCAGTCTGCCCATTCTCTTCCTATTCCTTGACACTATTTTACTCCTGGACTCCTTTAAAATAGCCCCTCCTTACCTCCATCCTATCAGTCACACCACAGCCAGGGGACTGTCCTATACACGCACACCTGATCATGTCACTCCCGGCTTCCCAGCTCTCCAGAAGAGCAACCACCTCCTAGGCCCAGCTCTGGCCTTGCCCCGCACTCCCCTCTCACACTGAACTTCTCCTGGGAACTTCTTCCACCCTCCTCACCTAGGCCATTTCCACTCATCCTCCTCAACTTAAATGTCCCCTTTCAGGCAAGTCCTTCCCAGGTTTCACAGACCAAGCTGCCTCTGTAACTTCTCCCCGTTTCTTGTTTGTTTCCCCGCCAGCCGGTGTGAGCTGTGGGTTGGCGAGGCTGTGTCTCCAGAAGGGAGACGTGGAGGCACGGGGCTCAGAGAGCGAGAGAGAAGTGAGGCGTAACAGCCCAGAGGGAGTGTGCCAAGAACACGCATTCTTTAAAGGGCTCTAATTTCTTCCAAATGCATTATTGGCTCCCAAAAAATAAATGACTAAATTTATATTAAATTCAGCAGATATTTTACATATATTGTCTTTCCAGGCATCTTCCTCCAGAACTTAATTAGACCTAATTACTAATTAAGGATTATAAGAAATATTTTCATTAGGTATAATACTAAATAATATTCTCATTAAAGCTCTATATGCTGCTGGTCTAAGTTTTACATTTTAAAGCTTTTTAAGAATCTACTTTCATATGCTGTTTACGGGAACATAAAATGGTACAACTATTTAGGGAAAACTATTTGGCAGTTTATTTTAAAGTTTAACACATGGTTATCATGTGACCCGGCAATTTTGGGTAAAATTAGGTATTTTTACTCAAAAGAAATGAAAATGTATGTCATCTTCAGAAATGCACATAGAGTAATGTTCAAAGCACCTTAATTCATAAGAGTTCCAAATTATAAGACATCCAAAAGTCAACAGGAAAATGAATAAATTGTGACATGTTCATTTAATGGAATACCAAACAATAAAAAGAAATGAACTATAGGTACATTCAATAACATGAATGAATTCTTAAAAATAGTATGTGGAGAAAAAGAAGCCAGACACAAAGAATATATACATACATAAGTATATATGTGAAGTTCAAGCAAAATGAATCTATGATGACAGAAATCAGAACAGGACAAATCTTGACTGCAAAGGGACAAGTAAGAAATTTTTGGGCGAGAGGAATATTCTGTATCGTGGTTGGAGTGCTGGTAATACGCATGTGAACTCAGGTAAAGTCATCAAGCATTTTACTGACTCTATTCCTCAATAAAGTACTGGTAAAAAACTCGTAAGAATGACAAAAACAACATACTCAGGTATGCGAGCAGAAGCCTCTGACACAGCTTGTCTTCGGGGCTTAACTAAATGATCTATTTTAATGAGGGAATCCGTGGAAAGGGGTGCGTTTTCAGGCTCTTTTTCTGCTTCGATGCTCTGTACAGAAAAATCACAGGATAAGGAAGAAGAAATAAAAACTAAGAAACTATATGGACATTTACTTATCTGAACTCTACCATTTCCTTTAAAAATTTTTAAAAGGAGATTTAAGATTTTTAAATCCCCTAAATTGCAAGCTCTGTACTCTGTACTGCCTGGTTCCTCTCTCTCTCTCATGTGCCCACATGCATGCATGATGCACACGCACACAGAGTTTCTTACATGATTAAGTCAAACATGGGTTTCATGGGCTGTATGAACAATACAGCCAAACCCAGACATCAAACATGCCAATTAATACAGACAAACAAGAAAATTAGGATTATGGGACTATATTCTGCATTTTCAGGCCAATTTTTCTTGTTAATTTCCTTTCTGTTTTTAAAATACACACAATGATTTACTTAAATTCAGTGTATTACTCACCTGTCCAGAGAGTTGGAATCTCAAAGTGTGTTTCATGTGAGGCTCCTTAAGAGGGTGACATTCAACATCCCAAAACTGGGCATAATCCCCTCTACCTCTGGGCAAAAATGTGATGGAGACCTACAAAATACACACAGGAGAGAAACTGAGACACTGATCATTCAACACAGTGGCCGCTAGATTACCAGTTCGAAGACTTGGTATGAAAAAAATTAAACGAACAAATGCTTTTGCACTGGCTAGTTTTCCCACTAATTGAAAGAATTTGGACAATTTCATTTCTAACAGGTTACTATACCAGATCCAAAACACTTTTTGCTTAAGGCTTTATATGACATATTCCTTAAAATGTACAATAAATGCTTTACTGTGGGGGGGACATGTTATCAGAAAGCACTAAAGCTGTCAAGTACAACACCTACACGAGGAAGGTCCAACCACAGACTCGCAATTGTCTTCCCTCGAATGCTTATGGAACCCTCTGCTGGCCAAGCAGTACCAGGACAAAGGCCTCACAGCGGCCAGGAGCTGTGGAAGACGGACAACAGGGAGGGGGGCGGCGGCTACAGGAGGCAGAACAAGACAAGCATCAGACACTCCACAGTGGCAGCTCGCATTATGATTAGCTTCCAAATGTCAGTCACGGCCAGTGACCCTGGGCACATAGCTCAGTGATAAACACACCCTGCATGTGTACAATCTGTAAAAAGCTCAATCATGGGACAATTGTAATGTTTAAAAAAAGCATTTTATAACAGTTACCAATATTAAGAGCCTTAGCTTTGTCAAATAATTTAGTGTTGATAATACTGATCACTTAACAATCAATCAGTTAACAATGAATCAGGTTAACAATGAATCAGTATTTCTGAGTCTGGACTTAAACATTAAAACACGTAAGTGGCCTAACTTCTGCCCACGCAGAACGTTAAACGTAATAACCCAGTCAGCCTGAGCTCAAGGCTTTTGAGAGCCTGGAGGCAAAAGTAGGACTGGTCAGGGAGAGGAGAGCATCTGACTAGAGAATTACACCACTATGGACTTGGACTCTGAGAAGATGAAGGAAGGAAAGGGTAAAACCAAAGGAAAGGGTAAAAACCACCACTGGGCACTACGGGACTACGAAATCCTAACTATACCCCTTCAAATACCAAAAATACAAGAGAACAGAGGAGGGGAAAACCAGTATTACTGCATGTTACACCCTAGGCACATACTGGGAACTCTTAACACTCAGTATCTCAGCTAATCCCCTAGCAAGCACACTCCACTTTCTCTCTGTAGATCTGCATATCCTAGACATTTCACATAAACAGAATCACACATCTGTAGGCTTCTGTGACTGGCTTCTCTCACTTAGCACAATGTTTTCAAGGTTCATCCATCGGGATATAGCATGTACCAGTAACTCCATTCCTTTTCACTGCCAAATAATGTTTCATTTTACAGATATACCAGATTTTGTTTATCAATCCATCAGACATTTGGGTGGTTCCCACTTTTTTGTCTACTATGAATAACACTGCTGTGAACACGTTTTTGTTTGAAAATCTGCTTCAACTTTTCTAGTGTATATCCAGAGGTGGAACTGCTGGGTCATACAGTAATTCTACGTTTGGCTTACTGAGAAACTGCCCAATTATTTTCCACAGCAGCTGTACCATTTCACATTCCCTCCAGCAATGCATGAGGGCTCCAATTTCCCCACATCCTCACCAACACTTGTTATTTTCTGTTTTTCTAAAACTCACAGCCATCTTAGTAGGTGTTAAGTGATACTTTATTTCTTGTTTTGATTGCATTTTGCTAATGACTAGGAATTCTAAGCATCTTCTCACATGTTTATTGATCACTTGTATGTTTTCTTTGGGAAAATGTCTATTCAAATCCTCTGCTCATTTAAAAAATTGGGCCATTTGTCTTTTTACTGGGTTGTAAGAGTTCTTCACGTATTCTGGATACAAGTCCTTTGTCAAAAATATCATTTGCAAATTTTTGTCCCTATTCTGTGTCTTTCATTCTCTTGATGGTTTTGTTTGAAGCACAAATGTTTTTCGTTTTGATAATTCACCTATTTTCTCTTTTGTGGCTTGTGCTCTACTGGTGTCAAATCTAAGAAACCAGTGCTTAACCTAAGGTCATGAAGATTTATTCCTATGTTGTCTTTTAGAGGTTTTATAGCTTTAGGTCTAATGTTTATGGTCTATGGTCGATTTTCAGTGAATCTCTGTACATGGTACTAGGTAAGTGTGATGGTTAATATTAGGTGTCAACTCAGGCCGGGCGCGGCGGCTCATGTCTGTAATCCCTGCACTTTGGGAGGCCAAGGCAGGCGGATCACATGGTCAGGAGATCGAGACCATCCTGGCTAACATGGTGAAACCCCGTCTCTACTAAAAATACAAAAAATTAGCCGAGCGTGGTGGTGGGCGCCTGTGGTCCCAGCTACTTGGAGGCTGAGGCAGGAGAATCACTTGAACCCGGGAGGCAGAGGCTGCAGTGAGCCAAGATTGAACCACTGCACTCCAGCCTGGGCAACAGAGCGAGACTCCATCTCAAAACAACAACAACAACAAAACCCCACAAATACTAGGTGTCAACTCAGTTGGATTGAAGGAGGCCTGGATGGCTGCTAAAGTATTGTTTCTGGGTGTGTCTGTGAGGGCGCTGCCAGAGGAGACTGACACTTGAGTCTGCGAATTGAGAGAGGAACGCCCACTCTAATGTGGGAGAGCGCATCCAATCAGCTGCCAGCAGGCGAGGAGGAGGCGGGCGGGAGAACGTGAGATAACCTTGCTTGCTGAGTCTCCTGGCTTTCGTTTTTATCCCGTGCTGGATGCTTCCTTCTGTTCCTCCTGCCCTTGGAAATCAGACTCCACGTTCTTCAGCCCTTGTGCTTGGTGTTTGGCCAGGGGCCCTCTGACAGTCTGGCCACAGCCTGAAGGCTGCACTGCTGGCTTCCCTCTCTTGAGGCTTTTAGACTCAGACTGAGCTGCTACTGGGCTTCTCTCTTCCCCAGCTTGCAGATGGCCTATCGTGTGACTTCGCCTTGTGATCGTGTGAGTCAATTCTCCCTAATAACCTCCTTTTCTTTTTCTTTTTTTGAGACACAGTCTCGCTCTGTCGCCCAGGCTGGAGTGAGTGGCACGATCTCAGCTCACTGCAAGCTCCGCCGCCCGGGTTCCCGCCATTCTCCTGCCTCAGCCTCCCGAGTAGCTGGGACCACAGGTGCCGCCACCACAACCTTCTAATTTTTTGTATTTTTGGTAGAGACGGGGTTTCACCGTGTTAGCCAGGATGGTCTCGATCTCCTGACCTGGTGATCCGCCCGCCTCAGCCTCCCAAAGTGCTGGGATTACAGGCATGAGCCACCGTGCCCAGCCAATAACCTCCCTTTCGTATATACATATATCCTATTAGTTCTGTCCCTCTGGAGAACCCTAATACAGTAAGAGTCTACCCTAATTTTTTTTTTGAGACGGAGTCTCGCTCTGTCGCCCAGGCTGGAGTGCGGTGGCGCCATCTCGGCTCACTGCAACCTCCACCTCCTGGGTTCATTCCATTCTCCTGCCTCAGCCTCCCGAGTAGCTGGGACTACAGGTGCCGCCACCACGCCTGGCTAATTATTTGTATTTTTTAGTAGAGACGGGGTTTCACTGTGTTAGCCAGGATGGTCTCAATATCTTGACCTCGTGATCCACCCGCCTCGGCCTCCCAAAGTGCAGGGATTACAGGCATGAGCCACCGCGCTTGGCCAGTTTACTCGAATTCTTTTGCATGTGGCTATCCAGTTCTCCCAGGCACTATTTGTTGAAAAATATTCTTTCCCCATTGAACTGTCTTGGTGCCCTTATTTAAAAAAAAAAAAAAAAAAAAAATCAATTAACTATAAATATTAGGGTTTATTTTGGGACTCTCAATCCTATTCCATAGTTCTATGGTACCGTCAAAACCACACTGTTTTGTATAATGTGGCTTTGTAGTAAGTTTTGAAAACACGGAGTGTAAAATCCTCCAACTTTGTTCTATTTCAAGATTGTCCGATTATTCTAGGTCTCTTGTATATCTACATAGATTTCAGAATAAGTCTTTCAATTTTAAAACAAAAGTCAGATGAATTTATTTTTAAATTAGTTTTTCTATGTTTTATTTAACTAAATTTAGATTAATTACAACTGTGCACTAAATCTTAGAATGAACAAAGAATAAAGTGGGCTTAGATTTTGGTGCAATTTTTTTGCAGGGCAGGGGACAAAGTTATACAATGGTATAAGGTGTATAAATTCACAGGACAACCCGTAAAGACCATTTTGGAAAACATATTTGAGGGGTTTGTGAAAGAGGCATTTAAAAAATCTTTGATATTTAAGTCATTCTTTTTCTAACACATTTATTTACCTTTAATTCTTTAAAAAAATTTTTGAATTTTTGATTAATCTCATTCTGCTAGATTCTCATGCGACAAATGCTTTTTATGTAAAATTGTCTTTTTCCTGCTGTGGTCAATTTTGCCAAAGGTTTGTCTATTATTATTATTTTTTCCAAAAAAGCAGCTTTGGAGATGTTAATCTTCTCTCATTTCTTTGTTTTTAATTTCACTATGTTTTGCTTTAGAACATTTTTTTCTTTCTTTGGATTTATTATTTTCACCATTCTTCAACTGACTGCTTAGCTCATTAATTTCAATTTTTTTTCTTTTTAAAATAGATGCATGACACCTATATCTTTACCACTATGGGCCCATTGTTGTTCCTTTTTTCTTTTCCAACTTTTACTTTAGATTCAGGGAGTACATGTGCAGGTCTGTTACCTAGGTATACTGCACGATGCTCGGGTGTGAGGAATGAATGATCCCATCACCCAGGTACCCAATCATTAATTTTTCAGCCCTTTTCCCCCTTCCAGTAGTCCCCAGTTTCTATTGCTGTCATCTTTATGTCTATCAGTACCCAATATTTAGCTCCAACTTGTCAGTGAGAAAATGTGGCATGTGGTTTTCTATTCCTGTGTTAATTCATTTAGGATAATCGCCTTCAGCTGTATCCATGTTGCTACAAAGGACGTGATTTGATTCTACGGCTGCACAGTATTCCATGATATACATGTACCAATCCACCATTTCTTTATCCAATCCACGGGTGATCAACAGTGGATTGATCCATGCCTCTGATACTGTGAATAGTGCTGTGATGAATGTGCAAGTGCATGTATCTTTTTAGTAGAACAATTTGCTTTCTTTTGGGTATATATCCAGTAGTGGGATTGCTGGGTTGAATGGCAGTTCTAAGTTATTTGAGAAATCTCCAAACTGGTCTCCATGGTGGCTGAACTAATTTACATTCACACTAAGTGTATAAGCATTCCCTTTTCTCTGCAGACTTGCTAGTATCTATTGTTTTTTGACTTTTTATTTTATTTTTTTGAAGACAGGGTCTCACCCTGTCACACAGGCTGGAGTGCAGTGGTACAATCTTGGTTCACTACAACCTCTGCCTCCTGGGTTCAAGCAATCCTCCCACCTCAGCCTCCCAAGCAGGTAGGACTACAGGTGCGTGGCACCATGCCCAGCTAATTTCTGTATTTTTTGCAGAGACAGAGTTTTGCCATGTTGCCCAGGCTGCTGACTTTTTAATAACGGCCATAGTGACGGCTGTGAGATGGTATCTCATTGTAGTTTTGATTTGCATTTCTTGATGATAAGTGATTGGAGCATTGTTTCATGTTTGTTGGCTGCTTGTATGTCTTCTTCTGAGAAGTGTCTGTTCATGTCGTCTGCTCATTTTTAGTGGGGTGAATTGTTTTGGGCTTGTTCAATTGTTTTAAGTTCCTTATAGATCCCGGGTATTAGACTTTTGTCAGATGTACAGTTTGTGAATGTTTTCTCCTCTTCTGTAGGTTGTCTGTTTACTCTGTTGATAGTTTCTTTTGCTGTGCAGAAGCTCTTTAATTAGGTCCCATTTGTCAATTTTTTTTTTTATTACAGTTGCTTTTGAGAATTTAGTCAAAAATTCTTTCCCAAGAGCAAAGTCCAGAATGGTGTGTCCTAAGTTTTCTTCTAGGATTCTTACAGTTTGAGGTCTTATGTTCAAATATTTAATCCACCTTGAGTTAATCTTTGTATGTGCTGAAAGGCAGGGGTCCAATTTCATTCCTCTCCATATGGTGAGCCAGCTATTCCAGCACTGTTTATTGACTAGGGAGTCCTTTCCCCACTGCTTATTTTTGCTGAGTTGTTGAAGATCAGATGGTTGTAGGTGTGTGGCTTTATTTCTGGGTTCTCTACTCTGTTCCACTGGTTTGTATGTCTGTTTTTGTTTTGCTACCATGCTGTTACGGTTACTGTAGCCTTATAGTATAGTTTTAAGTCAGGTAGCACGACGCCTCCAGATTTGTTCTTGCTTAGGACTGCTTTTGTTATTCAGGTTGTTTTTTTGGCTTTGTATGAATTTTAGCATAGTTGTTTCCAGTTTTGTGAAAAATGACGTTGGTAGTTTGATAGGAACAGCATTAACTGTGGACTGCTTTGGGCCCAGCTTGGGTTTTGACTGGGACTGTGTTGAACATGTAGACCAATTTAGGGAGTGCTGCTGCCTTAACAAGGTTAAGTCTTCTGATCGACTGACACGGGATGTCTTTCTTGTTGGGTTTCTTTTTGCGATACCTCCTCATATGCTGAACTCTATTCGAGCAGTGTGTTTATCCCGCCTCATACGCTGAACTCTATTCGAGCAGTGTGTTTATCCCGCCTCATACGCTGAACTCTATTTGAGCAGTGTGTTTATCCCGCCTCGTACGCTGAACTCTATTCGAGCAGTATGAACTCTATTCGAGCAGTATGTTTATCCCACCTCATACGCTGAACTCTATTCGAGCAGTATGTTTATCCCGCCTCATACGCTGAACTCTATTCGAGCAGTGTGTTTATCTCGCCTCATACGCTGAACTCTATTCGAGCAGTATGTGTTTATCCCGCCTCGTACGCTGAACTCTATTCGAGCAGTATGAACTCTATTCGAGCAGTGTGTTTATCTCGCCTCATACGCTGAACTCTATTCGAGCAGTATCTTTATCCCACCTCATACGCTGAACTCTATTTGAGCAGTGTGTTTATCCCGCCTCATACGCTGAACTCTATTTGAGCAGTGTGTTTATCCCGTTCTGCTCTGCTTCCGTTGTGGTTTGGGAAACGAACTAAACTACATGTGTAGAACTGTGTGTCTTTCCAAAAGAAGTGAGAAGCCCTCTGAAAGGCTGTTATACAGACCCAGTAATGTGTGTAGTTTGCAACAACTGCTACAGCTGCTTCAAGATTCTTTTACGGTCATTTCTGAGTTCACAGCTACATTCTATAACTTACTTTCAGTCTGAATGTCTAATAAATGAGCCAGTGAGCTTCAGCAATTAGAATGAAAAAGTATATTGCTGAGGCCAGGTGGGGGATTAGTGTTGTTAGGAGACATTTGAAGGGAATATGTCAGGTATAGAAATGAATTAACATTTAAGAGGGTCATAGTAGCTGGAGGGATCTGTCACCCATGAAGATACACTGCTGACTATGCCACAAACACTGAACTGTTTTTGGGTAATGGCAGGTTTTTCTGGCTACGGCTGACAGACAAAACTCTCATCTCCATCAGTGTAGTACGACTGTAAGCACCGGCAGTCTGTGGTCTTTACTGCTAAGTGAGCCACTCTGTTTAGCGGACTGCTCTTCACACTGAGACTGCCTGCTACAGCGCATTGCGAGTGAGGCAGGCTCTTCTCTTGGGTGCACACTGGCTCTGTGAGTAGCACTGCTCTGGGTGAAACAAGCTAAATGGGTGGAATCAAATGAGGCACTCCTGGACAATTTACATGATGTTCTTACTAACTGCCTATGGAAAAAAATATCGAAACCTACTTTTTGGATCCCATGGCTTTCCAGTAGACCAGAAATAGGAGAACATCTGAATGCTGCATAGGTGGCTCTAAAAACGTCTCCACTTTCATCAACTCCCTGCAAAGCAATCATTTAAACAAATTAAAAACCATAAAGCCAACGGATCAATCCCACAGAGACACTATTACCTCTATGGCTGCTGAGAACATACCACCACACTTAGCAGTGGAAAAGGAGAACGCAAGGTATTCCCAAAATGGGAGTGCTACCTGACTGAGCTCTGCAGAAGGCCATCATGCTGACTCACATCACCAAAGGAGAGGTCACACAAGGCGACTTTTATCAGTTCCCTGGCTATAGTGATCTTTATGGTGAGGCTCACAATGTCAAACAACTATCTTTTGCTCAAAGACTCTGAAGACCCTGTTGAAAGTGCATTTTAATAACTTATGCAATACCAGTTTTTAATTTGTATTTACTTATTTTTTTAAGACAGGGTAATATCTGCTCTGCTGCCTAGGCTGGCGTGCAGTGGCGCAATCATGGCTCACTGCAGCCTCGACAGCCTGGGCTCAAGTGATCCTCCCACCTCAGCCTCCCAAGTAGTCTTTAATTTTTTCACAGTAGGTCCAGAAACTGTTTTTTGTACACATTTGGTTAGTATTATGGCTCAAAACTGTTACTATCACACAAAATATATGGCAGAGACCACAGCCCTGTTCTAAACACCACCAATGACAAACCCACTGAATTCAGGCGGTGCCCTGGTGGAAACTACTGCCACAGACAGTAGGCTGCCACTCACTGGCAAAGAGTGCTCAGCTCCCTTTCCTGCACCGCTGGCTGGGAACATACGACAGCACTCAGAACATGAGGGGAAAGCCATGCATGTGTATATACAATGCTCAGAAATACGGTTTTTACGTATTTCTCAAAATACAGTTATTTCAGATAAAATTAGGGCTAGGAGACAGCATTAAATGGAGCAAACATGTATTTCCACACATATTCTCTAATTTGACTCTCAAAACCATCTTGTGAAAAAGACTGGGCATATATCATCCTCATCTAAAGAGAAAACCAAGTAAATGAATTGGTGGAACAAATAACCAGCAAGGCCAGGTGCAGCAGCTCACACCTGTAATCTCAACACTTTGGGAGGCTGAGGTGGGAAGATCGCTTGAGGGCAGGAGTTCGAGACCAGACTGGGCAGTGAAGTGAGGCTCCATCTCTACAAAAAAACAAAAAGTTAGCTGGACGTGGTGGTACACACCTGTGGTCCCAGCCACATGGGAAGCTGAGGCTGGAGCATCACTTGAGCCTGGGAGGTTGAGGCTACAGTGAGCAGTGTTCACACCACTGCACTCCAGCCTGGGCGACAGAGCAAGACTTTTGTCTCAGAAAACAAACAAGCAAATAACCAATAATATCAACCTATGCTCATAGTCAGTTTTTAGAACGTCCTGGAAAAAGTTTAAACATTAAAACGATTATATCTGAGGCAGTCATGACTGACCTTGACATAAGGTGGAGCTAAAGATGACAGATGCCATTTCACGTCTGTGGTGCCGTGATTCTCGAGTTCCAGACAGCTCTCTAAAAGGAACACATATATCATAACCCAAACCCAGAGAGACTGGAGAACAAGCAGATGACTGTGACAGGCCTTACTACCTCATACTGGGGTTAAAAGAACCCAATCACTAGATCCCTAAAGGAGTTCAACAAGAACCACAGTATTTTCTTAAAAAATCAGGTATGTCAGATATTCTGTTTTAGGTTTTATTACAAGTATAATGCAAAGATACCAAAGGGCTTATGCAGAGGAGCAATAAGATGATTTACATTTTTAAAGCGTTACAGACTGCTCTGTAGAAAAGATACTGCAAGGCACTGAAGTGGACGAGGAAGCCGAGGTAAGTCATGGCTGCAGCAGTTTGGCTGTGAGATGACGCACAGGGTGACTGCCTCCAGCTTGGACAGTGGCAAAGGGGAGAAACAGACGTGGGCATGTGTGGCCTCTACTTGGAAGACAGGCTTCACAGGACTTGCTGATGGACTGAGTGGGAAGAGGGAGGAAGAAGAGAACTCAGAAATAACAACCGATGAACAGACAGTGGTGCCACCTACTGCCATGGTTGAGCCTGGAGGTGGTGTAGGGCTTCTGTTGGGCATACCACACCTGATGTGCCCATGAGACGCCCACATGTGGGAGCCAAGCAGGCACCGGGGTGTGATGCCTGGGCCCCAGCACATGGGAAGTCATGAGAGCCACAGGCCACAGGCCACACGCCACAGGCCATCATCACACAGGGGAACACAGAGAAAGAAACGCACAGGGAGGCCGGGCCGGGACCCTGCCAGGCTTCAGAAATTGGGAGAGGAGTCAACAAGGGGTCAGAGCAGGAGCAGGTGAGGCAGGAAAACTTGAGCCCCAGGGCATAGCAGCTGCACGGAAGAGTCCTCCAATGTGGAGGAGCAGTCGACAGTGCTGGGAGGTCAAGTCAACCAAGACACAAAACAGACCCTGGATTTGGCACATGGAGCTCTTAAGTGACCTCCACAGGATGGGGTTCCGGGCATGAGGTGACGGCAGCCAAAGCCTAAGGAAGTGAGGGCAGGGGGCTGCTGAGATGGGGGAAGCCACAAGGAAAGGGTGTGGGGGCCAAGGAAGATGCTTCTTAACCCGGTAATGGTGGAGTATACTGGGTGCTGGTGGAGACGCATCAACAAGGAGGGAGAAGCTGATGGCTCTGGAGAGAGAGGGGATCACAGGAAGCCCCTGAAAGGTGAGAAGGGACAGGCCTGGTTCCAGGCAGAGGGTTCATCTGTGACGGAAACAGAAGCCGTTCACTGAGTCTCAGGGCCTCTCTATTTTTCATGTGTGAGGCAAAGTCAAGGGTTAGGAAGAGTGACAGCAGGAGCAGGGGAGCGGGTAGAAGCTCCCAGAGGAGAGAAGGGCCCCCAGTTGCGGGGGTGGCGGGAGCTGCAGGACACACACAGAGGAGCAGAGGCAGCAAAGCCTCAGGTGGAGGGGCACCAGGAACCCCCAGCAAGGCGGAGCAGCTCCCTCCAGCGTGGTTTCACTGCAAGGGTGGAGGCAGGAGGAGCCAGGCTCCTGGGACAAGCCAGGGTTGGGATCTTGCCAGGCAGGAACAGAGAGGGAGAGGAGCACCCCACAGTCACGGAAGCCTGGGAAACAGCAACTATAAGGACAGACTCAGGAGTCCAGGGAGTGACAAGAGGAGAGGGGCATGGGCAGGCTGGGAGAGAGCACAAAACAGGCAGGGCCCTCGGGCAGGGGGGGTCTCAGGGAGGACAGAGAACTGCTGTGAGCCCTGGGTGAGTGAGCTGAAGAGATGGGCGACAGTCAGCAAGTGCCAGGCTCAGAGTGGGGAGCTCCAGAGTTGAACAACAAGGTATGGGAAGAAGACCATGGAAGCAGGAGGCTGAGGCTGGGGGTAGACAACATCAATGGAGAGGCAAGGAGTTAGAGGGCCAGGCAAGAGATGCACCCATATCATTTCTAACAGGTCCCCCGACAACACTGCTCATTTAGCCTGAGCCAGCAGTGAGAGAGACAGACAGGGACAAAAAGAAATGATCTCAGGACTCTCGAGGAATGTCAGCAATACAGAGTGCCTAACGGACAACAAACAGCATGCTAACTGCTGTACATGTACCACTGAACACAAACGCTCCTCACGTCCCAATAAACCCATCCTAAGTTGCAATGAACCTAAGTGAAAAACGCATTTAATCCCCCTAACCTACCCAACATCATAGCTTAGCCGAGCCTGCCTGAAACGTGCTGAGAACACTTACCTGACCCACAGATGGGCAAATCCTCTAACACAAAGTTCGTTTGATAACACGGGGTGGAATATCTCATGTCACTTATTGAAGACAGTGCACTGCAGAATACAGTATCCGCTGTTCACCCTTGTGATCGCGGCTGACTAGAAGCTGTGGCTCAGGGTTGCCGCCGCTCAGAATCACAAGAGGGTGCAGCACCATGTGTCGCTACCCAGGGCAAGGTCAAAAATCACAGTGCAATTTTCATTGAATGCACATGGCTTTCACACCACCACTAGGTCAAAAAATGGTAAATCGAGCCACCGTAAGTCAGGGTCTGCCCATATAGGAATTACTGAATTTATCCTCGAAGCCTTCTCTGGAAGGAGTTAATTCCAAAGGCCATTTTACAAACGGGGAAACTGAGCAAGTCTACTGGACCTGTCTGGAGCCTCAAGGTCACGTGAGTCAGTGATGAAGCCGGGCTCCACCACTGGCCTGCCTTCTTCATCTGCTAACTTATTAACAACTGTGGTCAAGGATCTTGTGAGAGTTGCACAGGAAAGATTCTGACCATCAAATAAAACCTAGGATTCCTGGAATACACACAGTTAGTAAATGCCAAGATTTCACATTTCAAGATTGTTTAGATCCCAAATCCAGCCCATCATGGAAATGATTGCTAGTGACCACTTTCCCCCTGAAGGAGGAGGAAATCTGTATTTATCACCAACTTATTATGGCTAAGAATTAAGTATAGACTCAATATATCAGCAGACATTTGAATTACATAATTTTGTGATACAATACCTGAAGTTTCACCAGGTTCTGTTGTACAAAAAGTAATACTCTTCTTTCTTATTTCAACTTTTGTGGAAGGCGGTTTTGTCATTGGTTTCACCAAATGACTGACTGCAGGCTCAGATATTGGGGAAAGAATTCCAAATGGTTTGGAGGTCAAACGAGTTAAAAGTTCCACCTGAGTTAAATCTTCTCGAATCTGAACTTTCACGATTTTCTGAAACGAGCCAAAGACAGGGATAAGCTACAAAAAACATACCTATCATTTTAAACGAAACAATTCCATTTTTAAATCATGGTAGAGAAAAGAAATGCCAAACAAATGAAACATCAATAAATTTAGGAATTAAAGTTTATTTATTTAGATCTCAAGGTAAATCTGTGACTCTGTCTCCTCTCTCCCACTACCTTTGTTTTTAAAGCAAATTTCGAAAATTAGTAATCAGTTCTAGGCTCCACTCTCTACACCCATTCCCCAAGATAACTGTTCTGATCACTATGGAAAAATTCTTTTTCTTTTTTTTGAGATAGAGTCTCGCTCTGTCGCCCAGGCTGGAGTGCAGTGGCTGGATCTCAGCTCACTGCAAGCTCCGCCTCCCGGGTTCACGCCATTCTCCTGCCTCAGCCTCCCGAGTAGCTGGGACTACAGGCGCCCGCCACCTCGCCCGGCTAGTTTTTGTATTTTTTTTTAGTAGAGACGGAGTTTCACCGTGTTAGCCAGGATGGTCTTGATCTTGTGACCTCGTGATCCGCTCGTCTCGGCCTCCCAAAGTGCTGGGATTACAGGCTTGAGCCACCGCGCCCGGGCCACTATGGAAAAATTCTATACCAATGCTCTAACTAGTTGGCCTCAGAATACAAATAATCATGCCTGGGTATCCACGGCAGATCAGTTCCAGGATCCCCTGAGGACGCTAAAATCCTCAATGCTCAAGTCCTGTATATAAAGTGACACAGTATTTGCACATAACCTACATACATCCTCCCATACACTTTAGTTCACCTCTAGGGTACTTATAATACCTAATACAGTGCAAATGCTATGCAAACATTTGTTATACTGTATTTATTTGTATTATTTTTCCCCCAAATAATTTCAGTCTGTGGTTGAATAATTTCAATCCTTGGATGTGGAACCCACAAATACGAAGTGCCAAGTATACTTCCATTTGATTTCTGAAATTAAGTGCTAATGAGGATTGTGAAACTGAAGCTACAAACTAACACAACTGTCACTCAAAGAAAAACTGAACCACTTTTAAAAGTACCTTCTGTCCAGCATCACAGTGTATATAGATCAAACCACTCCACGGGAACATTGACTGTTTTGTGGATAAGGAGGAATTAGGACTCACAAGAATTTGTAGTTTACTCCTTTAAAAAAAATTAGTAAGAAAATTAGAAAGAGCCTGCATTTTAACAGCAGTAATCACAGGAGTTATAAATACTGTCTACCAGCCAATGGCCATTTCCTCCCTGCTCAGGCAGAGCAGAGAACAGAGCTCACTCCACGCGGCTCCCACGTGCTCAGCCCATCTCCACCCGACTCAACGGCTAACAAGGAACTCGCCAGTGCGAACCCATGACACAAGGGCAAAACTCATGTGAACACAAACGATGACTTAGGAATATCATTTTAAAAGCAACTCACGGTAAAAATTTCTAGAGCAAAAGACCAAGACTACAAAAGCTCTGAGCCACGTGATAAGAAAGAAGAATGTAGGTGCAGCACGGAGAGAATGAAGCAGCGGCAGAGGAAACTGGAAAAAAGGGTGGGGGCGACGGAGAAGAAATGAAGAAAAAAATGTGTTTCTATATAACCCGGCTGCTCATATTTTCTGGGCTCAATATTCTCTTCAAGAGCCAGGGGATGCCAGAGAAGAGTTTAAAAGTGGACAATGGGATAAGAAATCACCAGACTGAAAAGCTATTTCTGTCAACATGTCAAAAATGACAGGGCAAGATTGTCTTCCCCTGACAAACACACGAGGCTACAGAAAAAGCGGCCTGTGAGGAACCTGCTCTACCGTTAGCTGAAAGGGTGTGTGGCACATGAGAAACACTTGCTGCATGCCGAATTGACTGCTCTGGTTCCCACAACGTCTCTCTGGAGTATCCCTAACCATGCCTCAGCTCAAAGTCTCAGTCAAGTAAACTCTCCTAAAATTTCAGCATATCATTTTGCAAAAACTAAATAAACTTCATGTGGTCTCTCTGCAAAGCTGCTAATCCCAGATAGAAGGGAACAGGCAGCCGTGGGCGCCACGCGCTGGCCAGGTGAGGTCCCGAAACGCCGCAGAGCTGTGGCTTTCCCACCTATCAACAACCAGGCTGTGGACAGGCTGTGGCCGTGTGTAAATGGCTGGCCCCAAGAGACGTCCTTCTGTCCTAGAATACTCTACGCAGAAAACGGTCAGCAAGGTTATGGCTCATACATACTAAAAGCGAGGAAGCTTTGTCTGAAAAACATTCAGAAAAACAGAACACACAACCCAAACCAAGAAAAGAAGCGGCAGAAGTGTTTGGGCTCGGGACACATCGCGACCCCTCATCCCATGTCCAGCTGCATTCCTTGCTTTGTCATTTTGTGGGCAGAGTCCTAAGAAGGAAACGCTCTGAAGTCTTCACACCAGGGACTCTGTTCCACCTCAAATGTGTGTGTCCCTTTACCCTCCTGGGTGACAACATAACCAGCCGTGTGCAGATCTCTGCTCCACTAGTCCGCCTGCCACTTGAGCCCACAGCTGACCTGCAGAACCATGCACGCACTTTGTGCAGAGTCAGCACGGTGCAGAATTTAACTGGATAAACTACAATGACATATTATTTGACCTTTAGAAAGTCACCAAGCCAGCATCTAAGTAACACGCAGAGAACACGGAAGTCAGACTTACTCTGGGGCGACACATCCATGCTGCGGTGTGACTGTGAGGCAATGCGCTGGCCAGCACAGCTCAAATCTCAATAACCTCACAGAGTTATTCACAATCTGAAAGCATCCAGTTTTTGCCATGTCACCTATTTTGTCAGATAAATAAAATGTTACTTACATTTAACAACAGTGAAAAAGACAAATGTTAACAACTAATAAACCAGAACCCTAAATAGATACATGAGTATGCTACTGCTTTCTCAACTGTGCAATTACAGAAATTTCCAATCCTTGGTAGTAAACAAAAGGAAAAAGGAAACCTGGAAATTGTCACTGCTTGGTCTTAACCTGAGCACACACCTGCGTAGCAGATTCACTCTACTCTGCACCAATGCTGTATCTCTGTGGGCAGGGGTGTGGCTCTGCCACTGGGGAACTGGGAGCCTCGTTGAGGAGTGTGGCCCTGGGACAAGGACTCTGCTCTAGGCAAGTCTGAGTGGGGTCTCCAACAGTGGAAGCAGGACCTGGGCAAGGCACAGCTCAATGTGCAAGAGCCCATGTGTGTCTTGGATGGGCCATGGGTACAAAGGAAGTACAGGCCCAGACGCCAGAACAGACCTCTGAGGTGTCACAGCTGACATACTCACAAGGAGAAGGAGCTACTAGAATCAAGTGCTCGGGCAGGACAGTCCACGGCTCTTCGGAGGCCAGCTGATCCGGAGGCGGGCGAGCCGCCTGTGAGAGAAGAGGAGAACCTTGAGGACCTCTGACTGGTAAAACATCCAAAGAGATGTTGCCACCATGTCTCCCAGAAGCTCCCAAGTCGCTAAAAAATTATTTAAAGATGAAAAAGTTAGACAAGAAGAGACAGAGACAGAAGTTAAAAATGATAAAAGGCCAGATTAGGCCGGGCGTAGTGGCTCAAGCCTGTAATCCCAGCACTTTGGGAGGCCGAGACGGGCAGATCACGAGGTCAGGAGATCGAGACCATCCTGGCTAACACGGTGAAACCCCGTCTCTACTAAAAAATACAAAAAAACTAGCCGGGCGAGGTGGCGGGCGCCTGTAGTCCCAGCTACTCGGGAGGCTGAGGCAGGAGAATGGCGTAAACCTGGGAGGCGGAGCTTGCAGTGAGCTGAGATCCGGCCATTGCACTCCAGCCTGGGCTACAGAGCCAGACTCCATCTCAAAAAAAAAAAAAAAAAAAAGATTAACATCTCTAGATTAGGCCACCCAAATTTGTATATACAAGAAATGTTAAATTAAATGGTCTTTGAGTATCATATATTTTGACGTGGAAATTTTAAAAGAACACAGTAACTATAAATTTAGATTTATAACTTAACCAAGACTCTTGACTGAAAAAGTTTAAATCAACTACAAAAATATGTGCCATAAATTACACATTTTGTAAAAGCAAGATTGTTACACAAATCTTTGGAACAGTAACATGCTCAAGGAAATGTTACTGAAATTCATCACATAAAAGCTTCAGCTGCAGTGTACTCACAGGTGATCTATGGTACAAACCAACAAATAAAGTGAAACTGTTTTCTCCATTCATCTGGACAATAAATATATAATCACAAGGAATACAGTATTCCTTGAGGTGAAATTCTGGTGTCCCAAAGACCTGGCCTGAGTCCCAGCTCAACCCCATCTAGATGGGTGATCTTGACAGTTACTTGAGCTCTTGGTTGGCTGTGTCAACACAACTCTTAATACATTATGTGTACTTAATTTTTGGACATGCAGCTCTACCTGGAGCATTTGCCCTTATTCAGGTCTCATCTTCGCCTTACCACCTCCTCCTTTTTCTTCAAGTATACCTCAAGAATCATCTCATTCTAAGTGAGGTGCCCTCCCAGATTTATAAACACAGCTCTCTCTATCACAGCACTTTTCACATCACACCTGAGTCATCTGTCTTCCCCTGAGTCTGTAAGCCCCTCATGGACAAGGACTGCATCCAGTACCTCTGCATCCAGTGTCCATAGACCTACTGGCACTCTGTCTTCTCAGGATGCATCCACCATTCAACGAGAGGACTGTCGTTGTATGGTGGGGCTATGCCACCTTCTGAACCACTGCAAACTCTGGCTCCCTACAGTCTTCACCACAGTTGCACCGTGTTCCTAAGTGTTAGTGTTCCATCTCCACAGCACAGTTCAGCTTATCTCGTATTTGGATCCTTCCTCTGAGGAAGAGGTGGGGCTGCAGTGGGACGGATGGGTCTTCAGTTTCCACTTCAAATCCAAGGCTTTTTTCCTTTGCTCTGGTCCCCAGCACACTCCTAACAAGTCCATTTCAAGTCTTTTTGTCATTTTTAACTAACTCATCCTTGCCTTCCCTTTGAGCAGATGATCTAGACACCCACTTATTGAAAAGTTCACAGACTATTCAACATCACCCCTACCAAGGCATAAATGTCCTTTCATCACTTCATATTTCAGAAGCAAAATATAATCCATCACTAAAAAAGTAGAAAATAAAAACAGGGAAAAGCTACCACCAGAAATTTACCACCAAAACTAGCCACTTGTTCTTTTGGTGTGTATATGCCTGTAATTTTACTTATGTAAATATATGTAATAACTTTTAGCAAAATGAGATCTTACTATGCAAACTTCAGAAAGGTTTTGTGATAAATGAAGAGCTTTCCATGTCATTCAGAACAGATTCACATTATTGTTCTAATGGCTTCAAAATACTCTACTGTGGCCGGGCGCGGTGGCTCACGCCTGTAATCCCAGCACTTTGGGAGGCAGAGGCGAGGGGATCAAGAAGTCAGGAGATCGAGACCATCCTGGCTAACATGGTGAAACTCCGTCTCTACTAACAAATACAAAATAATCAGCTGGGTGTGGTGGTGGCCTGTAGTCCCACCTACTCGGGAGGCTGAGGCAGGAGAATGGCGTGAAATCGGGAGGCAGAGCTTGCAGTGAGCAGAGATCGCGCCATTGCGCTCCAGCCTGGTGGACAGAGCAAGACTCCATCTCAAAAAAAAAAAAAACATTCTACTGCATAATTAAATGACTCCCTATTCTTGGGCATTAAGGTTACTTGTAGCTTCTTGCTATTACAAACACCACTATGGTGAAAATCCGTATATACATTTTTACACAGTCTGTATGTCTCAATATATTTATATTTTGTAGGAATAATAAATACCGTTAAATATTTGAAATGTTTAGTGTAAACAGGGCTAACCATCTAGGTTAGTGTCACCTTATTACTACCTATTTTGAAGATTTTTTGCCACCACTACATCTTCCATAAATCTTACAATAGGCACAATAGAACAGTAACCTCAAAATGAGTGCGAGTTTGCAATCAAATCTAAGTAGCAATTAATTTGATTTAATAATGACCATTTTCTTCTTCCTGTTTACAAGGTTGCCTAGAGAATAAGTGCAGAAAGTATTAGTAACATGTAACATTTATATAGCAGCAAAGCTGTTTCACTGAATCCTTGTTAACAACTCCGTATGGATGAAAAGCTAGATGTCGCTCCTCTTCCCATTTACAAGATAAGGAAACTGATATTCAATAATGTAATTTGTTCAAACTCATACAGCAGGGCTGTGGCTCAAACTCTGCCTGACACTGTATCTAAACTAACACTTCCTTCTTATATCACATCGCTGGACCTAGATAATACTACAAACGGCCCAAAAGATTTAATACATCAAGACACGCCAAAATTCTTACCTTCAGTTACTAATAGCTCATCTTGAAATGCTTCAACAAAATTAATGTTTTGAAACACACTGTGTTCTGGAAGTATCTCTTTTATCATCTCTGGTTTATGTAACAGGGCCCTGGCATGAGAGATTTTTTTTTATTATTATTTAAAAGTGCCATTATATATAAAATAGCTTTAATTAGATTTTCACTAATGCATTTGGCAAATCCCACTAATACTGAAATATCAGTACACAGACCTTACACCTAAAAGAAAAATCTGTTTTGGAAGTTCCCTCGAAATTTACACATGGTAGTAAAATTATCAGTTTCAGTTAAATATTAACATCAAACAAGAATTCCCTAAAAGAAGAGTAAAACTAGATTCTTTTCAGGTCCTACCTTTTCATTAGTTGTGATAATGTGGTCATAGCTAGAAATTTGTCTCAGAACACAAAAGAACATGCTAAAAAATGGGAAGATTTGACGGGGAATATCTCAATTACCATATAACCATGTTTATCTGGCTCCTTCCAGAGAATCTGAGGTGAGAAAACTGAAATGTAAATTTCTCTATAATACTCAGATGTCCACAAAGAAAATCTCACTACTATAATTTTATGTCAAAGAGGAGTTTGAAAACAATACGCTGACTTCTATATCCCAATTGAGAAAAAGAAAAACATCAGAATACCTCATAATATGATTTCTCCAAATGTCAGTTTCTATTTCCAAAATACTTAAAAAAGAAACAAAACCAGGTCCAAAGGCAAGCTTTTTATTTGGTCTGTTCTAACATCATGTAGCAAGCCGCCATTAAATTCCCTCTTGTAAAACATTCCAATGACCCTCAACAAATTAAAAACAAAACAGTTTCCCAAATTCTGTATCAGAATAAAACACAGCCAAGCACAAAGGGTTGGAAGGAGACAGGCGTATTCCTCCACACCCCCTTTCTAACGATTTTTTATTAGCAGGTGACACACCATGAGCTGCACTCATCCTGTGTTTAGGTCCTTTAGTCTAGGAAACTACACTTTACAATGAGAGAATTCATATCTTTGAATCACACCTAAACCTAAATCAACATCCTAAATTTTCCAACAGTTCAGCATATCAAACTATGTTTAAATTATCTATTTATTTATTTATTTATTTATTTGAGAGGTCTGGCTCTGTCGCCAAGGCTGGAGTGCAATCATAGCTCACTGCAGCCTTGAACTCCTGGGACTGTGATTTTCCCACCTCAGCCTCCGAAGCAGTGAGGACTACAGGGGCACACCACCACACCCAACTGAATTTTCTATTTCTTTTCTAGAGACAGGGTCTCATTATGTTGCCCAGGTTGGTCTTGAATTCCTGGCCTCAAGCAATCCTCCCACTTCAGCCTCCCAAAGTGCTGGGCATGAGCCACGTAGCCTGTCCTATATTTACATTAGATAGATCAGATTTTACAGTAGTTTGTACTTTTTAAATAGCTGCAAGTTAAACATCTTATACATTTCAAAAATTCGACTTGATCCTTTCAAATAATTCACAGCATTCCCAGAAATATTACTAACTAGTCATCTGTTTATACAATACAATCATTCAGTAGTTTCTAATCTTTTATAAAACTGACACGGTCACTTGACACGTCGTCAAGAGTACATTATAAAAATGGTCCTATTATGAAGTATGATGCAGGTAATGAGTAAGGGAAGAGTGGCACAATACATTCATCTAGAAAAGAAGGCACATTCTGAGGAAATATAGGAGATGAGTTTCCTATGGGTATTTTTTCCTCACATTGTGGTAGCTCATCACCCACATAAATTCTACCATGATTTTTCATCTACCAATTCACTAATAGTGAAATGTTCTAAAAATTCCACATCCCAAGCCACAGAAGCCTTCATCATTTCTACTGAATGGTTCCCAGCATTGTGTAAGATAAGTCATCTACCTGCGATACTGCTGTCTTGAAATTTCATCTCCACCAAGTAAGTATACAGTCGATAGTTCTGTTGCAGTTTTATTATTGATTCCTCTGTCTGATGGATTATATATTAAAGTAACATCCTGATGCCAAGAAAAAAAATCAGGAGTAAATATTAAATATTTTTAAGTAATTTCATTCTGATTCAACAACCTTATGAGTCTAAATATCTGACATAGACACAAGTGCATGTGCATGGCATTTCCAACATCACATAACTATGTCCACTCCTACATTATTTTCAAATTTTATTTTGGCTTTTGGCTTTAAAATACATAATTATTAACTTAATTTTAAAATGAGTTGATGTTGTTAGCACAGAAACTTTTATACTTACTTCTTGTGTTCTTTCCTTGAGTACAAATTTATCTGGAAAAATCCTCAATACTTTCGGATCCAGCAAAATTTTTTTCTGAGAATCCTTAAAACCTACTGCTTTAACAAAAGCTGCTCGGGAGCCAGTGTTGCGGACAGAAAAAACAATTTTACTTTCTTTGCCAGGTACTAAGCCATTCACTGTTACCATGTAACTGTCAGATAATTTTTTAACGCCTTCCAAAATAAGATTGCTTGTTCCTCCATATCCAGACAAAGGTATCTAAAAGAATATACATATCCAAAATTATTTTAATGTTAAGCAGAAAGCAAAACACTGAATTACAGTCAGAAGAAAATTCAGAAAGATTTAATACAATTAAAAATTTTAATGTTTGTGTACTTTGAGTAGTAGTTCCTCATTTCCAGTTCAGCGGTATATTAAAGACTTTGTTTTAAGGAAAAAACAAACAAAAGAGCAGCAAAATTATCTGGCTTCTGAAATGCTAAGAATTAACTATTTCAAAAGCCCAGCTTAGATGACAGAGGAATAATACAAAGATTAGTACAGATATGCTTAAGAAGTTTATAGGGTAAAATATACTAATATTTTTAATTTACTTTGAAATGCATTAAAAAGATGAACTGGGGGCTGCCAAGGTAGCCGAAAAGGAACAGCTCCCGTCTGTAGCTCCTAGTGAGATCAACACTGAAAGCGGGTTATTTCTGCATTTCCAACTGAGGTACCTGACTCATCTCATTGGGACTGGTTAGAGAGTGGGTACAGCCCATGGAGGGTGAGCCGAAGCAGGGTGGGGCGTCGCCTTACCTGGGAATCGCAAGGGGTTGGATGCCCTCTCTCACCACTCCTATTCAATATAGTATTGAAAGTTTTGGCCAGGGCAATCAGACAAGACAAAGAAATAAAGGGTATTCAAACAGGAAGACAGGAAGTCAAATTGTCTCTGTCTGCAAATGACACGATTGTATATTTAGAAAACCCCATCATCTCAGTCCAAAATCTCCTTAATCTGATAAGCAGTCTCAGGATACAAAGTCAATGTGCGAAAATCAGAAGCATTCCTATACACCAATAATAGACAAACAGGGTCAAATCATGAGTGAACTCCCATTCACAATTGCTACAAAGAGAATGAAATACCTAGGAATCCAACTTACAAGGGATGTGAAGGACCTCTTCAAGAAGAACTACAAACCACTGCTCAAAGGATAAGAGAAGGCACAAAGAAATGGAAGAACATTCCATGGTCACGGATAGGAGGAATCAATATGGTGAAAATGGCCATACTGCCCAAAGTAAGTTACAGATTCAATGCTCTTCCTATCAAGCTACCATTGACTTTCTTTATAGAATTAGAAAAAAAACTACTTTAAAGTTCATATGGAACCAAAAAAGAGCCCATAGAGATAACTGCAAGACAATCCTATGCAAAACGAACAAAGCTGGAGGCATCACACAACCTGACTTCCAACTATACTACAAGGTTATAGTAACCAAAACAGCATGGTACTGCTACAAAAACAGAAAGACAGACAAATGGAACAGAACAGAGGCCTCAGAAATAACACCACACATCTACAACCATCTGATCTTTGACAAACCTGACAAAAACAAGAAATGGGGAAAGGATTCCATATTTTTAAAATGGTGTTGGGAAAACTGGCTAGCCATATGCAGAAAACTGAAACTGAATCCCTTCCTTACAACTTATACAGAAATTAACTCAAGATGGATTAAAGACTTAAATGTAAGACATAAAACCATAAAAACCCTATAAGAAAACCTAGGCAATACCATTCAGGACATAGGCATGGACAAAGACGTCATCACTAAAACACCAAAAGCAATGGCAACAAAAGCCAAAATTCATAAATGGGATCTAATTAAACTAAAGAGCTTCTGCACAGCAAGAGAAACTATCATCAGAGTGAACAGGCAACCTGCAGAATGGGGGAAAATTTTTGCAATCTATCCTTCTGACAGAGGGCTGATATCCAGAATCTACGAAGAACTTGAACAAATTTATAAGAAAAAAACAAACAACCCCATCAAAAAGTGGGCAAAGGATATGAACAGACACTTCTGAAAAGAAGACATTTATGCAGCCAACAAACATGTGAAAAAAAAGCTCATCGTTACTAGTTACTAGAGAAATGCAAATCAGCCAGGCATGGTGGCTCACACCTGTAATGCCAGCACTCTGGGAGGGCGAAGTGGGCAGATCGTGAGATCAGGAGATCGAGACCATCCTGGCTAACAGGTGAAACCCCTTTACTATTAAAAAAAAATACAAACAATTAGTCGGGCGTGGTGGCATGCACCTGTAGTCTCAGCTACTTGGGAGTCTCGGAGGCAGGAGAATCACTTGAACCTCGGAGGCGGAGATTGCAGTGAGCCAAGATCACGCCACTGCACCACTCCAGCCTGGGCAACAGAGCAAGTCTCTGTCTCAAAAAAAATAAAAAATAAAAAATAAAATAAAAACCACAATGAGATACCATCTCACACGTTAGAATGGCGATCATTAGAGATTCTGTTCCAAGATGGCCAAACAGGAACAGCTCTCATCTGCAGCTCCCAGCATGATTGACACAGAAGACGGGGATTTCTGCATTTCCAACTGAGGTACCTGGTTCATCTCATTGGGACTGGTTGGACAGTGGGTGCAGCCCACGGAGGATGAGTCAAAGCAGGGCAGGGCATTGCCTCACCCGGGAAGTACAAGCGGTCAGGGGATTTCCCCTTCCTAGCCAAGGGAAGCCGTGACAGACTGCACCTGGAAAATCGGGACAATCTCGCCCAACTACTGAGCTTTTCCAACGCTCTTAGCAAATGGCACACCAGGAGATTATATCCCACGCATGGCTTCACGGGTCCCACGCCCACAGAGCTTTGCTCACCGCTAGCGCAGCAGTCTGAGATTGACCTGCAATGCAGCAGCCTGACACGGGGAGGGGCGTCCGCCATTGCTGAGGCTTGGGAAGGTAAACAAAGCAGCCAGGGAAGCTTGAACTGGGTGGAGCCCACTGCAAGGCCTATGGCCTCTATAGAGCCCACCTCTGGGGGCAGGGCATAGCTGAAAAAAAGGCAGCAGAAATTTCTTCTGACTTAAATGTCCCTGTCTGACAGCTCTGAAAAGAGTGGTGGTTCTCCCAGCACCGTGTTTGAGCTCTGAGAACGGACAGACTGCCTCCTCAAGTGGGTCCCTGTCCCCTGTGTAGCCTAACTGGGGGACACCTCCCAGTAGGGGCCAAATGACACCTCATACAGGCTGGTGTCCCCCTGGGATGAAGCTTCCAGAGGAAGGATCAGGCAGCAATATTTGCTGTTCTGTAATACTTGCTGTTCTGCAGCCTCTGCTGGTGATACCCAGGCAAACAGGGTCTGGAGTGGACTTCCAG